CCAAATCCATAACTAGTAAAACGCCTCATTAGTTTACTACATCATTCTTGCAACTTTTCTCATCTCATTGATTTTGATTTCATCACTCCTTTCGAAATCATAGATTAATTTTTAATTGTAATAGTTGAGATCATGAGTTAATTAAAGCTAGATAACCATGGAAAGCTTTGAAGCATTGAATGACTGTTTCGTCCTATTATGGGACTCCTCAGCAGTGAGCATTAGAACGAAACGGTCGTCCAGTACTTCCAGGTTTTCAATGGTGGTCTAACATCAATCGGTTCATGATCTCAATCAAACACTAAGTGAATTTCAACTTCACTCCATTGCACAAGCAAGTGGCTATCAGGACTCAATAGATAAGTGGATAATGAGATGGCGTTTGAAGCAAATGGTATTGGGTTTGAGTCTCAGAGTGAACAACAACAACAACAACAAGTCTGAGATGAAGGCATATCTAGCTGACGATTCTTAAATAGGACGAAACTCGCGTCTTGGATTCTACTGCTAGTTACTATCCATCTTTGCTTATAAATGGTTAATTTGTATCAAGATATTTACACCATAAATAAAATCAATCAATTATCTATCTTCCCCATCTTTCATTTTATAATTGGTTTAGAAATAATCAATATCCAGTAGGGTGAACACAAAAAAATCACACATAACTGTGCATATCTACACATGCACACACACACACATCAATTGACTGAAAGTGCCTATGTGTTTCCACTTTAAATCGACTAACAATCAAACTTATTGAACATGGAAACTATTTTCATGTCTGTGTGTGTGTGTGCGCGCGCGCTTTTCATTTCTGCTTTTACTATTTATAAAATTGTTTTAATGTTTATGTAAATATTCAAGGACGTTGTTTGAAAAGAAACCAATTTCAAGGTCAATATTTAACTAGAGAAAGTGCTAATTGAAAATTGATAATAATAATAAGTTTGGGACATAAAATGAACATTCATCAGATTACGTCACCCCATTATAAGATTGATTATTAGCTAGTTGGTCAGGGTAAAGGAGTGGCTGAACATACTTCTTTTGGATACAAAGCTCTGGCTTTTTGATCCGAATAGTAATTGCTTCAGTCGTCTGTAGGATTCGCAGTCTGATGGAATTAGGTAGACTGCTGTTGACACGATAGATTATTGCAAAAGATTACTCCATGTTTGCTGTATGTTCTGTTTGGACTAAATGGTCTAAGATGGAGCTGTTAACAGTTTTGATAACACCTTTGCTTAACCACACGAGTAGGTGCTCACGAGCCCGAATGTACAAATTCCTAGAACATCTGCCAATATAACTTACTCCACAGGAGCAGTTGAATTGATAGATACAGAAGGAGGTGACTAGTCTAGGTAATATATCTTTCAACCACGGAGTGATTATTGGTCTTGTGGAGAATACTAGTTGTAGTTTAACTGCATTAAAAGTCCTTTGAATTGATCTACTTAACTTAAGTCTTAACATTTCACTCGGTGCATCGCCTCTGAATTGTAAGCGTATATATAGAGGCTTATTATTTACCGTTGGGTATTCTCTACGCTGTCTGTGATTGGCTAAGTTTTTATTTATAAATTTCTCCGGATATCCATTTTCCTTCAGGGTTTTTAATAATGCCTTTGTTTCATCTTCAATCGTATCCATAGTGCATATAGTCTTGATTCTATGACGTAGTGTCTTAATAAGGTTCCTTTTTTTGTTGTAGAGGAACGAAACTGAGAAACTTAGTATATTGACCCGTCCAGGTAATTTTCCTGTTTATGTTTTTTTTAGCAATCCATCTTTTCTCCTTGTAAGCAGAACATCTAGGAAGGCTATTTTACCCCCATTTTCTTTCTCACATGTGAATTTTACGGACGGATGAGCTGTATTGAATTGCTCGAGTGTTCTTATCAAGTCCGTATGGTCGTTACAAAGGATAAATGTATCATCCATATATCGACAGTACAATGGAAACTTATCGATCTCTTGTGCCAGTGGGCCGTTTTCTAGTTTAGAAAGGAAAATGTCTGTCAATCATATTTGATGAAGAAGCTCTGGAAGATGTGAAATCTTTCACATACCTGGGAGGCATCATCGATGAACAAGGAGAATCAGATGCAGATGTAATGGCGAAGATTGGCAAAGTATGGACCACATTCTTACAAGTGAAGAATATATTTCTGCATAATTTGCTATCTTCCACAAAAAAACACCTTCGTGAAATATGTAGATGATTTTGTTGTATGTATGCCGATTTCTACCTCTTTACATCCCATAGAAATGAATGAGTTTTTGTCTTGTATTGAATGGTGATTTGTTGTTAATGATCTCATACTTGATCTGTCTAAATGTCAAGCTGTTAACTTTAGTATGAGACATGAATAACACCTAAGCACCATGTTGGGATCCCATAATGCTTGTGCCATTGGAGACTCTTTGATAAACACAGTGTCGAAGGTCAATTATCTTGGTGTTACCTTTTCCTATGATCCCTCTTGGTCTTCTCATGTTTTACGAAAAGTGAATGTCCGGCACGGGTTTTAACTGGATTTGTGGACACGAAGAGTCCACCTTGAGGAGCTGTAAAACCCTCACTTCAAACCAATGGTGCACATGAACTCCAGTATCCCGAGGGAACAAATGGTGTATGAACCAATTGCTGGTCACTGATTACCATAGAAATGCATCTCCTGACGTTGCTCGACTGCCTTGTGGATCAGACCTCTAGGCCGAAGGTTTCTGATGTGGTCTTTTGAGGAAACCACTTGCTTCGGTCTGGGCACCCGGCCTGTATCACAGCCCACACATAAATCAAGTGATTTGTGTGGTGCATATGCATTCGGTGGCCCATTGTAACAATATTTATGTGTTCAAATAAACAAGTAAATAGTTTTGTCCAAGAATGAGACTCCTCAACAGGGCATTATCCACCATCGCTCTATGAAGGTCCTAACCCATGACAATCAGTTTCGCCCGTGAACATTTAGACTTTAGGCTACTGACCTGGTATCCTGTAGTGAATATACCTAACTAGTACCAATTCATGATATTGCACGACCACATTCCATTGCCAGAGATGTCTGTCTATTTCACACTTAACATAATCCTACTCCACAGGTCACAGATTCTCATTAGAACTTCATGAATCGCACCTTGAAGCTAATTATTAGTGAGTAGATGATAATTATCAGTATGGACTTTGTTGAGATTGTAGAGTTTTCATAGTTTAAATGATAGTTTAGACAAGATCTATAATCTTCATGAAACCCTATACTCAATATGATTAGTCATATAGTTATTAATGAATCTCTACAAAGTGATCAACTGATTTCTGAATACTAGCCAAGTATTCAATGAACTGATGAATGATTGTAAGACTATAATAGAGAAATCTTATACTACTATACTTTGAGTAACAACAAACTATGACGAGGATAGTGATCAACGACAACTTTAACATACTATGGTGGAACATATAGAAATAGGTTTCATTTTGTGAATTTCTGATTTAGTATTATAAACAGTGGAATCCAGGACACCTATCTCGTCTTATTTGGGAATCCATAGCTGGGTGTACCTGCATCCCGGATTTGTTGATGTTCACACTGGGGTTCGAACCCAGTACAGTTCGCTTCAAACGTCATCGCATTATCCACTTAGTCACTGAATTGAAGTGTATTTTTACCTGCCTTTGTATGTCATAGTTTATGATCCAGTTTAAGTACTAATACATCCTTGAACTGATTTAAATTTGTACCAAATTCAACGTTATTTATAAGTGATTAACTGAATTATTTACAATTGATTGATCACTAGGTAGTGATTAATGTCACATGTATCAGATCCTTCTTAATGCAGATGGAATCCTATCGATCAACCCTAGTTGTAAATGTTAAATCCTAGTGAAGATTAAACACTACGGGTAACTTCTGAGAACTATTAGTGGACTAATGTTATACAGTACATTCTTATTGTATAACTATTCAGTAACTAGATTATACATATCTACATTCCCCTTATGATAAGCTTCATTTTGATCTATAGGTTATTACTATAATACGATTATGTTCAGTTCATGGATTACAGTGTCCCTTGTTCACAGCCAATTTTGGCTTGATTTTGTATAAATGTTATTTCCTATTTTATGGTGTGATGCGGTCTGTTTGGCTGGTTTATAAACCAATTATGTTTGAAATAAATGATTCGCATAGTGAGAGCTGTTATAGGCGTTCTGGACTCAACTAGATGGACTAGGCGAACAAAGGACCAATAAGGACAGTAGGCTGCTCATACCGGTCGAACATCATTGGTTTGGCACACTACTAAGATTGTATAAGTCGTATTTCGATTGGTGAATAAATCACGTGTAACTAGCAGTCAGTCAGTCAGCTACAATGTACGACCAGGCACATATATGCATCTCTCCAAGTTGCCATACCTCATTAACACAAGATGAACACCGGATTCATAGCAGTGGTTAGGTCAAAGGTGGCAATATATAAGAGAAAGATTGCATATAGAGATATAGTACAAGAAGAAAGAATTGGTTCGTAGAAAGAAAGATATGAAACGATTTTAATCTCTTAGTTTAAGGGAAGACAGGGAGTGTATACACCTACGCCATTGTGATCGATTCTGAGCCATGTCACCAAGAGTCTCCAACCATTGATTACGATAGCCACACGGACTCCAACCAAGTAGTGTGCATTTATCACCAACATGGCTAAGACTAGAAGTTAATAGCTTCAAACACTGATGCCACGTTTTGGTTTGACCGCCCCTAACTTTCCTCCAACCATCCTCAACACTAGTCAACATTGCGTGTCGTAATAATCGGTGTTCACGCATACACAACACATGGCACTCAACACCACATGTAACTTACAGCCCGGTAAAAGTCGTCACAACGGTAACATCTTTGACTATGAAGCTAGTTGATACATAATCGAATTTGTCAAGCAGCATCAATACCCTTAAAATAACAAGTACATCTTGTGAATGAATGCCAAATATCCAGGTATTCCTATTAACTACCTCCAATCACCATCAATGTATCGCATGAAACACTTTTAATAAAAGTATAAACTATATAACTGTTGAATGTATATTTCACTAATGATCACTTTACATATCATGTATATTGATAATATGGTAAACCATAATGTATTGGTTGTGACATATTGGAAGTTATATCATTCGGATAAACATATGGATTGATTGTAGATAATGGATATGAATTCACTGATTGAATTGTTCTAGTAGAACATTGTGGAATAATCATTGGTACTGGAATATGTCTTATGATAAATCGTGGTTGTGTTATCATCATTGGTACATTGAAACTATACCATGATGGTATATTCATAGGATTAACAATGTTATTCATGAATGATGATTGTTGTATTGTATTAAATGAATTGGATGGTATATTATGATGAGTCAACTGATTCAAATTCATCGAAGAAGTATCATATTCTGTAGATGGTAAACATGATGTACTACATTGACAATATTGATTTTGATCATTTCGATTCAAACAAAGCTGATCTCTAATTGGTAATCTATACTTTAATTCTTTCTTTAATAATCTTATCCTTTGAGGAGATAAATATCGTTTAAGATATGAATATCGATATTTATTGAAATGATCCTGTTTACAAGAGTTGCCATAGTAACATGCACATTGATGTTTCAATTGATTTGTATTCAATCTTTTTGATGGATTATTCCATTCATCATGTTTACAATAACATGGATAAAATCCTGGAGATTTTGTCAAATCCCTAAGCATACAGTTATGATGCATTGAATGATGATGATGATCATGATCATGATATGGTTGATTATTATACCATTGTATAGATTTACATTTATCATCATTATGATATATTGATGAATAAGTTGGATTTGATGAGAAAGTTTCACTAGATGATTCATCTTTTGATGGTCCACAATTCGTACAGTCTTTCTCTTCAATAGATCTATTCTGATCATTATGAATAGTTCTTAATTTATTCTTATAATTATTATCAAGATAATCTCTTGTTATCTTTTCTATATGATGAATTTGTTTAGATGAGATCTCTTTTGGATGATCTACATTAGAGATTGATATAACTTGAGATTCTTGATCGGTTTGAATTCCATTCTCTTTTTTTGTGATTGGATAGACATTATGATCTAGATTGTTGTCATGGTTACCTTCTAATGTCTTATCTTTGTTTTCTTTCTCTATGATATAATCTATTTGTTTATGATTATTATCTATTAAATCAATATAATGAAGAATATTATTATTTAATAGTTTTAAACCTTTAAAATCATTTCCTATATATTGATTTTTTGTTTCTAACGGAATATTTATATGATCAATTGTTGCCATGGTAATATTTATTGGATAATGAATTGATTCAATCGATTTGATTGGATTTAATATTTTAATTGTATTTTGTTCTTCATGAATATTTAGATCATTCTTTATTGATGTATCAATTGTTTCAATAGATAAGTCTTTATTGATTAGATCATCAGTTTGTTTCATTGTATTGTCTTGATCATGGATTGGATCTAATAGTTCAATGGTATTATGTTCTCTTTGAATAGTTAGATCATTCTTATTTGATTTAGTCATTGTTTTATTAATCAATTCGTTGTTTATTATTTGTTTATGTATATTCGATTGTTTCGTCTTTTTTCGTTTCAATTTGTCTTCATCAATCTCTTTATGAGATTTATTGGATTTGTGTATTGAAGAGATTGTTTTCGTTGAGATTTTATCTTTTTGTTGTTTATCATTGTGTTTTGGTTTTAATTCCTTTTTGGATAGTTTCGTTATTGATTTCTCATTCAAAGAAGTACTAGTACAAGTACTACTACTACTAGTAGCAGTAGTAGTAGTAGTATGTTGTTGTTGGGGTGTCGTCAAGTTCTCCATAGAGACTTCATTTGTTTTAACATTATCCATATACTTTGGTTTTAAATCCTTCTTGGATAGTCCTTTTATTGATTTCTCATTCAAAAAAGTACTAGTAGTAGTAGTATGTCGTTGTTGTTGGGGCGTCGTAACGCTATTCAACTTCTTCATAGAAACTTCATTTGTTTTAACATTATTCATATTTTTTGGTTCTAATTCCTTCTCGGATAATCCTTTTATTGATTTCTCATTCAAAGAAGTACTAGTACTAGTACTACTAGTAGTAGTATGTTGTTGTTGAGGACGAGGAGGAGGAGTCAAGTTATATAAGTTCTCCAAAGGGACCTCATTTGTTTTAACATTATCCATATGTTTAGGTTTTAATTCCTTCTTGGATTGTTCTTTTATTGATTTCTCATTCAAAGAAGTACTAGTAGTAGTAGTAGTAGTAGTAGTAGTAGTAGTAGTAGTAGTAGTAGTAGTTGTAGTATGTTGTTGTTGCTGTTGGGGCGTCGTCAAGTTATTCAACTTCTCCATAGATACTTTATTTGTTTTAGTACTATCCATTATATTTTTATTAGATAATTGTGGTATTTTTTGTTTAATCTTCTTTGTTAAATGATGCATCATCGTCTGTGGATCACCTAGAACATAATGAATGACATCATGTTTATTCTGATGTGAATTCAATGAATTATGTTGCATTCTTTGTGTTGGAATAGAAAAAATCGATGAGATTTCATTGTTATCATCATCTTCATCTTCATCATCACCATCATCACCTTCCATAGATCCTTCTTTATTGAATATACCTTTTGGTAATGGACTAATAGAAGATATTCCATAAGGATCTTCTGAAACGAATTCATTTTCATTTAGATGATACTTCTTTCTATGGATTAAATGAAATACTTTGAGAAATTTATTGAAGCTCTTCTTTTTCATTATTAATTTCTTAGTTTAGATCTAATCCATGGAACATTCTTTGGTTTGATTTTGTTCCAGGATCTTAATCTAAAACAGAATAGAATAGAATGATCTTCTATACAAAAATTTAACAATATCAAATTGTGTATAATGTGAATATAGTTTTGTAGTTTAGAGCGTATTTTAAAATGAACCGATCAAGTCACATGATATCTGATCTGTATGGATCAAATATATTGATTATTGAATTTGATAATAACATGATCATTGAAGATAATTTGTAATGATTCAACAGTTGTAGACAGCTTATATGAATTTTGATAGCTGAATTTATGAGTCAAATGAATTTAGACCACTATAGGAAACTTGGAAACATCAAATGATCGTTTTATCCTAGTATGCGACACTTCAGTGTATTCGCAGGATTCAAATCTAGGACATTCGATCTCGCATGCGAGCGCTTAACCTCTAGACCATTGAGCCAGTTCATTGTGCAACTTCTCAGCTCATTTTTGTGGATTAGTTGAGGTCAGACATTAATATCGTTCTCTCAGGAGACTGAAGATTCTGGGTTCGAGTCCCGTGGTGTGGGATTTTGGACGCGCTTTTCTGGTAACAGGTCTTGAAGTTTAGCACGAAATTCATTCATCCGTTTGGTTAAATAGAATTTTGGCATTATAGCTGATGTCAGATCGTGGTGAAAACCTTGAGTCTAATTCCTAAGCTTAACGATCAATTATAAACCATTAGGTGAACACCCTCATGATCTAAATAATATTCAAATATCTCCGTAAACCCCTAGAACCTATATTGAAAAACTACAGTGTTCATTTCACAAATCTAGTATATATATATATACTGGTTGGTGGTCTATGCTCCATTAAGGGTGACAGGCGTAGGTATATATATATATATATACCTACGCCTGTCACCCTTAATGGAGCATAGACCACCAACCAGCATTCTCCAACCCACTCTGTCATGGGCCTTCCTCTCTAGTTCTATCAAACTGTTGTCCATTCTTCTCATATCCGTTTCCATTTCTCGGCGTAATGTGTTCTTTTGTCTTCCTCTCCTTCTTTGGCCTTCAGGATTCCATGTGAGGGCATGCCTTGTGATGCAGTTGTGTGCTTTCCTCAATGTGCGTCCTATCCACGTCCAGCACTTCTTCCTGATTTATTCCTCCTCTAGAATATGGTTTGTTCTCTCGCATAGTAGGTTGTTGCTAGTAGTGTCTGGCTAACGGATTTGAAGTATTTTGCTTAGACAGCTGTTAATAAACACTTGTATCTTCTGGATGATGGCATTCATGGTTCTCCAAGTTTCCGCTCCATACAGTGAACTGTCTTGACATTTGTATTGAAAATTCTGACTTTCGTGTTGGTTGACAGTCAGCTGTTTTGAGTTCCAGATGTTCTTCAGTTGTAGATATGCTGCTCTTGCTTTGCCAGAATCGCTCAAAGGTTATCTATAAATTAAAGTCTTATCAAAAACGATCATACATGTTCGCCTATATCATCCTGAAGATCTGTAAATAGTAATAGCATGTTATGGTCTAGTGCTGGTGGATGGCCTATGCTCCTCCATGAGAAGTAACAGGCTTAAGTATGTTATAGTCTAGAAATTTCCTTTGAAAATAACGCTTTGATAATTTCAAAAAAACGTTTTATACTACTCACAACAGTTTAAATATTTACATTTATTTCTGTAAAACTTGAATCAACATTTATAGACAGTAAACATTTTAAGAAATTACATAACAATGGAAAACCTGAAAGCACTAGACGGCCGCTTCGTTCTACTATGGGACTCCTCAGCAGTGCTCATCCACAATCCTGCCCCGCGAAACTTGAACTCAGGACCTTTGGACTTGCGAGAGAACTATTAACCTCTACACCACTGAGCTGACATTCAGCGGTGTTAATATCTAACGTCAACCAACCCACGAAATTGAGCTGTGAAGGAATATGATGTATTCTAAATAAATCTAAACAGGAAAATAAACAATTGTTGAAATGACTTAACCATATTGAACATAAGATAAACACTGAGTTCCAGGTATAGATAGCTAATAAGTTTCAAGTTGAAGGAAACTCATGTCCTTGATTAAACTACCAACCATAACGCCGACATACACATATGTAGAATATTTATAATTTAGTCTGACCTTTATCACAATAAAGGAGATTTGAACAGAATAGGTTCATTACTTGACTCTACACATTATGATGGATAAATGGTGATCTAAAGTATTCATCCATGAGTTAATAATAATTTAAATCCATACATCCTTCTTCTTTTGCATGAAGTATGAAATTTTACAAGAAGTGATGTAACATCCATTGGTTCACAAATTTTTCGCTTACTCACCTTCAAATGGTGGTTGGAGGTAGTCTACTGGAAACCCTGAAATCGATGTTCTCTCAAGATTACAAGTATACATTGTTGACATGTGCCAAATAGCACGAAACCTGTGTCGAGGGTTGGCGCCGTGACCTTGAAATCTTTCAAATGCTTCTAATTGGCTCGTTCATAAATTAGAGTTTAGCCCTTCTTATTAGTTAGAAATGAGTTTAAAAATGCTTTATGATCACTATGGAACTTTCTCAATTTCGATACTTTTGCTACACAAACCATGTTATACTGGGATTAGACTAGATTTGAATGGTTAGATTTACACTTGAATTCTCCAAAGTCATGTATTGTATAAATTTTGGTATTGTGGATGAAAAGTTCTAAGAAGTTCAAAATAAGTAAAAAACATTTGTACAAGGATCATTTATCCATGGTGTTATATCCTTATTAGAATAATGAATGGTAACTGTTGGGATCTATTTATGGACTGATACCATGCATATATTCTTATTGTATAACTGTTAAGTAGCTACAATATGCATATTCTTGTTCCTCTTATTAGATAGTTATGAGTAGTATCATGATTATTACGTTGTTTTTTTTTCTGAAATAAATTCTATACTTTGGCCAGATTTATAGAATTTTGGTGATGTGTGAAGTTTTATAAATCTTACTGGTGCTTAGAAGGTTTAAACTCCAGTATGTACTCTGAAACGATCCATCTCAAAGATGATGGGATGTATATCTGAAGTTTCAGAGTGTATTTCTGAATTACACTCACAAGAAATTTGAGATCTCCCATGAACTATATTCAACCACTTGATAACGTTCTATATTTTTTCCAAAGAAAGTGATTATTCATTTAACAGTAAGTTCTTATGCTAGATTCTGTCTTCATAATCAACATTGTGTTAACTTAGCTGTATATTGACATTGAAAACAAGTCCAGTCTTTTAAATTTACAAGAAGTCATATTTAAAATAATACTACTTACTAATTAAAGGTAGTATGTTTACATATTACAAAATATGGTCCTACTGGCGACTTGATCTCATCTTCTCCATATCCATTGCAGAGTACATATGTCTTAACCAAAATGGATGACATCAATAGTTCGTATTGTTAAACCAGTAATTTACAGTCTATCTGATGTAATCGATCAATGTTTGATCATCTTTGAAAACCTGGAAGTACTGGAAGGTCATTTCGTCGTAGTATGAGAGTCGTGAGCAATGCACATCCACGATCCTGTACCAAAGGCATTCAAATCCAGTACCTTCGGTCTTGCACGCGAACTCTTAGCATCCAGACCACTGTACCAGCATTCACAGTTCTAATGTCTAACTTCAATCAATTAATGATATTTTGCAACTGTCCTTCATTGTCTTCTATGTTATTATTTATTCATATTTTGGAATGGATAGATCCATGCGAAGTGACCGACATAATATTTAACTAATCCTTCTGTTATTAATGAATTCTATCAAATAGCTCAATAGCGAACTGGTTAGCTGATGAATGTCAGACTTGAGTTTCACCAGGGTGTATCATTTCCATTTTAACTATTGACAAATGTTAAGTAGAATGAAACACAAGTCTACGATTTCTTAACTTGAACACTACTAACCATTTAATATTTTCAGAAGAGGATTTTGTGGAAGTCTTACTAATATAATAGTTGAATTCATGAGTCAATTATTACTCAGTGAGGACTGTCTCCAAAAGACATTTACTGGAGTTCTAGTGAGAAGTCTTGACCAGTAGACTTCAACCGGGTCTGTTATGAGATAGTAACTCGCTGAAGGCAATGGTGGACAGTGGCTCCATTTTTTTGGATTAGTTAAACTTAGACATTAACATCATTAGGTGTCGGCTCACTAGTCTAGAGAATAAGCGTTAGCACACGAGACCGATATATTTCGGATTCGAGTCACACGTGCGGACGAGATCGGGCATGCTCACTGCTGAGGAATTCCATACTTGGACGAAATGTTTCTCCAGTAGTTCCAGATCTTCCATGATGGTCTAGCTTCAATCGATTCATCAATTCAACTATTCAATAAATAATTCTTATTTATCCAAACCATGAGAATTTGTCGATTAATTCAATAAATGTAGAGAAAGAGATATTTATCTCCATTTATTTTTTTTTAATATTTTTTCATAATTTTTCTTTCATAGGTAAAAGTTGACAAAAAATAACATTGCAAAAAGTGTATTTCTCTTTCACACTCTCCTTCTCCCCCTCCCTCCCTGTCCCCTCCCCTCTCCTACTCCCTCTCCTCCCACTCTCTCTCTCTATTTCCTTTATGTCAATAGATTGGAAATAGATTTTTTTCTAGAAAAAAAACAAAGAAAAATAAAAGAAAGAAAATTTGAAGAGGATACAAGATGGAAAAGTGTATCATCAAAGTACACACTTTATTTGTATATGTCAATAATACTTAATATTATTAGATAAGTGATATTTCACTTAATTCTGTCAATCCAAATATTATGTTTAAAAGAAAAAATAATACATAGACAGTAGTATTGTTGTGTATACTACTGATGGTGATAGATATAAGTAGTATATTATTACCATCATCATCATCATTTAAAAGTGAAATAGCTGATAGGTAGAAGCTTAAGTAGATCAAAGAAAAGAGGATAAGAACAAAGAATGCGTTCGAATCCCGTGAGGTGGGGTCGTGGATGCGCACTGCTAAGGAGTCTCACAATAAAACGAAACGGTTGTTCAGTGCTTCCAGGTTTTTCATAGTGGTCTAGCTTCA